GCCTGGGTGGCTCAGATGGTTAAGCATCTGCCTTCGGCTCAGGTCGTGATCTCAGGGTCCTGGGATCGAGTCCCGCATCGGGCTCCCTGCTCCTTGGGAGCCTGCTTCTCGCTCTGCTTCTCTCTCTCTCATGAATAAATAAATAAAATCTTTAAAAAAAAAAAAAAGTACTTTTCTCCTAAAGTGTCTGGTGAATAAAACAGTGTAGGTATAGGGCTTGCCACAGTGCTTACTAAATGTTAGCTATTAAAATACTTTTAAAGGGGCGCCTGGGTGGCTCAGTCGTTAAGCGTCTGCCTTCCGCTCAGGTCATGATCCCAGGGTCCTGGGATAGAGCCCCGCATCCGGCTCCCTGCTCTGCGGGAAGCCTGCTTCTCCCTCTCCCACTCCCTCTGCTTGTGTTCCCTCTCTCGCTGTGTCTCTCTCTGCCAAATAAATAAATAAAATCTTTTTTTAAAAAAAATAACTAAAATAAAATAAAATACTTTTAGAAATCATTATTGAGCACTTTCGTGCTCAACTGAGTGTTTTCCTGGTCTTTGCTAGGCCTGGGATACAAATATGAATAAGATACCTGTCTGTCCCTCAGGATTCCTGAAGAGAGGCAATAAAGGAAACATTTCCCACAGAATAAGATAAAATACAAAGGAGGTAATTGCTTGAATAAGGTATGTATCAACTATGGCACAATAGGAGCTCTGGAGGAGGAGCACCAAAGTCAGAGAAGGCTTTTTAAAGTAGGTAGCATTTGAAATCAGATTTGAAGTATAAAATGAATTCTTATAAAGCCCTTTGAAGCAGTTAAATCTTATTAAGCCCAATTCAGATCCAAAGGCCACATATCAAAGTCAATTATACAACCAAGACTAATTTAATCCAGGAGCTAAAATCAGTTGAAGTCCATATCCTTTCTAACTGAGTGCCAGCACCAGGAGACAACAATTCCTAGACCCCATAAGGTAAGAACCCCCTCTCATCTCTCTTTCCCTGGTAGAATCCTCAGACCTTTGTCTCCACTGCTTCTGTCACTCTGAAATGTTCTCCCCCACCTTTTATTTTATCTAAATCATAGCCGTCCTCTTTAGAAGTCTTGCCCTCCATTGCTCAGTCCCCAACTTGAGCACCTTCCTCACAACTCCAGAGGCAGGTATAATCTCCCAGAAACCTACCAGGTGCAAAGTAACATTTAATTGACCCTTCATTTGAATATCAGTCTTCTCGAAAAGAAGAGAGAGAGAGGAGATAAGGGAAGAAAACCCAGGGGAAAATATCTCAAGAGAGGATCCTGAAAGAAGCAAGACAGAGAGAGAGGGGTGAAAAAGCAGAAGAGAGAAATTGAGAGAGAGAGAGAGAGAGAATGGAGAAGCAAGTGGAGGAAAAGGACACCAAATGTGGGAGGAATGGAGACATCATGGGAAGAAGAGAAAAGATCAATATCAGCACTCAGAGAACATGTCAGTAACCACCTACCTTCTCTTAAAATACTATTTTGTGCAATTTTAAAAGTAACGGAAATAAATTAAAACAGTATACACACATCATCAAAAAAGATACAGAAAAGTATCTTGTTTGGAAGATGCAGTAAAGTAAAAAGATGAAAAACATGTAAATGTACATTATTTTAAAAATGTAAAAAATGTCCATAATGTCACCATTCATAATCAACCATCTTTTAACATTCTGATGTTTTTCTTTCCAGACTTTTCCATTTATATATACATATATATATATCCTACATGGTTGAAGTTATACATTTTACTACACATACTCACTATCTAGTGTGTCAGGTCATATATAGACAAGGCATAGGATATACAAGGAGCACATAATCTTGCTACATATTTCAATTGGATAGTTGGACCAACTGGGATCAAAACTCCACACCACTGCCTGCTAACTCCCTAACTTCCAATTACTCATTAGTAAAATATGTATGCAACAATAGCACCTAAATGTTAGCGTTGTTGTGGCAATTAAAAGAAATAATCTAAGTAAAATAGGAGAGCCAATCAGGAACGTTAAGGTGAATGTTAGACGTTGCCTTGGATAATCACCTATTGTCTTTGACTCTCTGAAACATGCATTTGCTCAGTGATCTACATTTAAAATTGTTCTTTAACTCCTCCACCCTTTTAAGGACTCCATTCTGAATGGGACAGTGGATGTACCTGGCCTCCAGGAAGGGTGACAGTTACATCGTCTAAGCAGAGAAAGTCCAGGAAAGAGCAATGTCTGACCTTAGGACTAATGTTCCCCACCTGTTCTGAAAAATCCCAGGGTCTAGAGCAGAGGTATCCAGTGGAAATATAATGTTAGCTAAAGAAGTAATTAAAGGGGCTCCTGAGTGGCTCAGTTGGTTAAGCATCTGCCTTTGGCTCGGGTCATGATCCTGGGGTCGGGCTCCCTGCTCAGCATAGAGCCTGCTTCTCTTTCCCTCTGCTGCTCCCCCTGCTTGTGCTCTCTCACTCTCTCTCTGTCAAATAAATAAAATCTTAAAAAAATAAATGAATTCTTTGACAGTTAAAGAAAAGTAATTAAAAATCTTTGGTAGCTACATTAAAAAAGATAAATAGGTGAAATTAATTTTAATTATATATTTATCCCAATATAACAAAAATATTATGATTTCACATGTAATCAATATAAAAAATTATTGAGATAGGGAT